TTGTAGAGCTTATCAATAACTTTGGCAAAATAGAAGAATACAAACTTAACCCACCAAAATCAATAGTCTTTTTTCATTCCAGCAATGTACAAGCAGAGAGGGAAATCAGGAAAACAACTCCATTTGTAACAGCTTCAAAAATATTTGAGAATAAGGCTAGCCAAGGAAGCAAAAGACCCTTATAGCAAAAACTATAAAATTTGAAGAAATAAATCAAAGATGATATCAGGAAATGGAAAGACTTTTCATGTTCATGGATAGGTAGAATTAATATTGTGAAAATTACCATACGGGCAAAAATGATTTACAAATTTAACACAATCCCCATCAAAATCCTAATGACATTCTTTACTGAGATAGAGAAAAACAATCCAAAAATTCCTGTGTGACAACAAAAGACCTCAAATAGCCAAAGCAGTTGTAGGCAAAACAAAAACAGAAAACAATGTGAGTGGTAAAATCCCAGACCTCAAGTTCTACTACAGAGGTATAATAACAAAAACAGCTTGGTACTGGGATAAAAATCAACCCAAATATCATTGGAACAGACTAAAAGACCCAGAAATAAAACGGTCTACTTACACTTATCTGATAATTGATTAGGGAGCCAAAGGTATACATTAGAAAAAATATTCTCTTCAATAATTGCTTTTAGGAAATTGGGCATCCATATGCAGAAAACTAAAAGTAGATCCCATGAACTAATATTAACTCAAAGTAGATCAAAGACTTCAATATCACCCCAGAAACTTTGAAATTACTTCAAGAGGGAGTAAGAAAACACTAGAATTTATAGGCATAAACAGAAACTTTGGGAAAAGAGTACATGAGTACAGCTGATATGAGAGAGACCTGACAAGTGGGAAGACATCAAACTAAAAAGCTTCTGTACTGTAATGGACACAGTTACTTAACTAGAAAGACATCCAACAACAGACTGGGAGAAAACCTTGGCCAGCAATCTATCTGACAAAGGCCTAATATCCAAAATACACAAGGAACTCAAGATATTAATCCCTCTCAAAGCTAATAAACCAATCACTAAATGGGCATAGGATCGAAGGAGAGACTTCTCTGAAGAAGAGGTAAGAATAACAAGGAAACATATGAGGAAAGGTTCATCATCCCTGGCCATAAAGAAAATGTGAACCTAAATGACTGTGAGATTCCATCTCACCACAGTTAGATGACCTAAAGTCATGAATACCAACAACAACTGTTCACAGGGATGTAGGAAAAAAGGAATCCTATTGAACTGCTGATGGGAATGTAAATTAGTATAACTGTCTGGACAGCAACTATGGAATGTCCTCAAAAAACTGAACATAGATCTTCCCTACTCCCCAGCCATATCACTCCTGGGCATCTACCCAGAACATCACATGCCAGGATACCATAAAGACGTATTCAAATCCACCTTTCATTACTGTAATTACTAGTCACAATAGCCAAATTATGGAAACAGCCCAGATGCCCCAAAATAGATAAGTGGATCAAAAAAAAAAAAGTGGTATCTATACACAATGGAATTTTACACAGACATTAGGAAGAATAAGATGTCATTTTCAGGGAAATGGATGGACCTAGAACAAATCAGGTTAAGTAAGGTAAGCCAAACTCAAAGAGACCAATGGCACATATTTTCTCTCATATGCAAAGCTAGATCTAAAATAGGCTGGGACATGATAAAATACAAAGGACTGCAGGCATTCATACACAGAGACTCTTAGGGGAGGAACTCAAAGGCACAATGCCTCTGTGCCTCTGATCATATAAAATATTTATCGAAATGAATTCCAGGAACTGGAAACAAGAGGACTTTTTTCTCTTTTTTTTTCTTTTGTCTTTTTTTAAAATCTGTCTTTGAGGGGCAAAGGAGGCACAGTAATGGAGGGACAAAAAGTGAACAAATGGGCTGGGAAGGTGGCTCAGTGGTAGAGCGCTTGCCTTGCATGCCTGAGGCCCTGGGTTCCATTCCTCAGCACCACATAAGCAAAAAGAAAAAAGCCGGAAGTGGCGCTGTGGCTCAAGTGGTAGAGTGCTAGCCTTGAGCTGAAGAGCTGAGGGACAGCGCCCAGGCCCAGAGTTCAGGCCCCACGACCGGACTCCCCCCCAAAAAAAAAACGTGAACAAATGGAGCAGCGGTACTCAGTAGACACTATGCTGAAGATGAACTATACAACTTGTGGGCTGGAACAGGTGGAAGAAATTGGGAAAGAGGGAAGGAAGGGGTGACATTGTCAACAAAGAAATGTACTCATTACCTGACTTATGAAATGGTAACCCTTCTGTACTTCACCTTTATAATAACAAGATACAAACCTATTCAAAATAGCTGAGATAGAAGAGATAATTTTATAAATTACAACAGAAAAGAGAGGCTTTCTAATAAACAGTCCTACAACAATTGTTGATTGGTTTGGGTAAAAGCTATTATGCCATTAGATAAAAGCTAAAATTGAGTCCCTAACTCACATCATACACAACTGCCATTACCAAACAGATCAAAGGCTAACATTTATAGAAAAAAAATACAAAAAATTTTAGAAACTAATTTCTGATTTCAGGATAAAGAAAGATTTCAAGAAAATGAAACATATGTAATATTAGTAGACTATACCCTACTGAAAATATCTAACTATAAACACAACTACATGGCTGATTATTAGAAACACCAAACTTGCCTTAGAGTTGTGGCACATGCCAATAATTCCAGAAAGATTGTAAGCCTGGTTTTCTAGTGGTTAATTGGAGATAAGTCTCAAGGCCTTTCCTGCCTGGGCTAGCTTTGAATCATGATCCTCAGATCTCAGCCTCCTGAGTAGCTAGGATTACAGGCATGAGCCACCAGCACCCAACTGTGTCTGAATATTTTAAAATAATTTAAGCATTAGTTAGCTGGATGAATTAAGTCTTTTCTACATTAAAAATACTATGATTCCTTAGATTAATTGATGAATGAATAAAGTTAACTGTCCATATTGGCCAAAACAGTTAACAATATGGAATCCATTTTGATATTGGTAACTCTTATCTTTCCATCCCCAAATTAGAATACATCAGTTCCCTCTAGAAAACCAGGCAGAAATTTTGCTTTTGTTTTCTCCCTGATGATTGATTTCTTTTTTCTAATCCTAATTTTTTTATTGTAAAGATACTGTACAGAGGGTTACAGTTACATGAGTAAGGTAATAAGTACATTTCCTATTGAGCATTGATACTCCTTCCTTTGTTTTTCTCCTCCCTAACTCCTCCTCCCACCCCAATTTGTAAAGTCATTTTCAACGGAGTGTTTTGTACATTTCATTGTTACAATGGGTCAACCTGTATCCTTATTTCCTTTCCCTTCTCCAAATTAGCAAAATGGATATACAAGATGGAGGGCACTGGAATCAAATACAGTGACAACAGGGGTTATACCGTGGGGGAAGAACATACAAAAGAAATTTAAAAATCACATAGTACATTATAAGTACTTTAAAAAAGAACAGCAATAAAGATAAAATCTCTGTGTCCTTATCTTGGGGTTCATTTCACTTAACATGATGATTGATTTCTTAAATGTCATTTTTCTTCAGTGAGGCTGCGAGGGTGGACGGAAGGTTAGGATAGATATGTGTTTTTAGCCTCTTCTTCACGAGAATCTTATTAAGATGAAGGTGAAACTCATTTTAGCAGTTAACAAGTTTTTTAACTGGAGTTTATACAAGCTCAAGTAAGAAATCCCTCTTACATGAGTTTGATTTTTTTTTGTGGGGGGGTGTTAGGAGGGGGTGAAGGTTGGGAGGATGATCTTAGAGAATTCCATAGCTTTTCATGTTTGTATATCTTTTTGTTTGGTTGGTCATGGGACTTGAACTCTAGGCTTGGGTGCTGTCCCTCAGCTCTTCGACTCAAGGCTAGCACTCTACACCCTGAGCCACAGCACCACTTCTGGTTTTCTAGTGATTTATTGGAGATCAGAGTCTCATGGACTTTCCTAACTGGGCTGGCTTTGAACTGCGATCCTCAGATCTCAACCTCCTGAGTAGCTAGGATTTCAGGCATGAGCCACAGGCACTCTATGCCCAACATATTCATAGATCTTGAAGTTGAAACTTTTACTAAAAGTGTTGCCCCAAATTCCTCAGATCCCTCACTGGAAGTCTGTCTCAAAGTTACCACTACAGAAAATACTCTAATCCAAAAATTGTAGATGGAATAAATTCATGGGTGCTAACTGCCAAATGTCAAGGACAAGCTTCCATGCCTGCAAAAGACAGACGCCAAAAGGATACAACATGCAAAGCTGTGCATGAGCACCTTAATCAAATCCCTGCCAGAAACATAGCCCATTTTTAGACCATTCAGATAGGCTAAGTATTCCTGCAGATCACCCTAGCAGCAATGCCTCTTACCTTGAGAGATCTGCTTAGACCTTGCTCACCCACTGGCTTATATCTGCCATGTATGGCTACGAAGGACAGTGAAAAAAGATATTCATGACTTCAATCCAGAATATCAGGCATCAGTTGGGTCAGAGGACAATACTGATGCTGAAGCCTGAGGCAAGACCACACCCCTTTTCTGATTAGTACCCTTCCCAGTGATACACAACACTATACGGGCTTTAGAAGGAGAAAGTCAGTCCTGTCTGGGTTAAGAAGAAAATGATGACTAGTGAGGACAATCGTCCAGTGGAACCAGGCAAACTATTTCAGTCGTTGATCAAGGCTCTGTTTGTGTCTTCCTCAGGTCAGGTGTAAGAAACCAGATCTTGAAAGGTAAGGGAGTAGATTATCTGATTATCCTGACTTGGAAATCACTGCTAGCGCACGTTAATTTTACTAGCCTGGAAATGACCAAAAAAAAAAAAAAAGAATCCCTTGGTTTAGGTCACGTGACCTTGCCAGTTCTCAAGACAGATCTCCTCTCACCAGGACACTCTGTGGAGCCTCTGAAATCTGTGGAGGCTGCTTGCTGCCAATGCAAGTGGACAGCAAGTGAACGGAGAAATGAGCATGGCCTTGCTCCTGGTCTCTTGGGTGGCACTCCTGAGCTTGGCATCTGGATGTCAGCATCGCCTGTGTCAGTGCACTAACAGAGTTTTCCTCTGCCAAGACAGCAAGGTGACAGAGATTCCCCCCGACCTCCCCCGAAATGCAGTCGAACTGTGAGTATCAGAGCGGGAACAGCTGCGTGGCTGACATCGGTGTACAGAGAACTATTATTATTTTTGCATTAGGCTGCTTGCTATCTGTGGGGCTGAAATATTTCTGCCTTGACCAAAGGCTTGAATTAAACAAACTTCCTCAGCTGAAGCTTCTTGCCCTGTGGCTTTCCAAGGATCTTACTGTGGAAACTTGAATCCAAAGGTAAAGGGAGGAGATTTTTAGTCTTTTAAAAACATTCACTCAAGAATTCCACACTCTCTTTAGCAGAACCAGAAAAAAGAAGAAGAAGAAGAAAGAAAGCAACACAGAAAAGTTAGGAGACCTAGAGCCAGAAGGAGAAAGCTGGCTGATATAAGTTGAATACATAATATCTATCTCCTAGGGACACTGTATTGGAGAATGCCTGAGCTTCTGTAGCTTTGAAAGCATCAACAAATAGTTCCTGAAGTGGGATTCTGCTTCCTGAAATAAGAGGAGGTGGAGAAGAGGAGAGGGGAAAAGAAAGGATGGGGAAACAAAGGAAGAAAGCAGAGGGAGAAAGTTAGAAAAATCATTCAAACAGCCGGAAAAGTGTGGCGCTAACTTTAGATTCTTAGTGAACTATTTTAACAGGAAGCCAACAGTGTCTTCAAGTTGGACAAGAAAGTGGATATCATCTTATTGTTTCTCTCCATTTTACAAATTGGGAATCTGAACTCACAAATGAGTGGAGGTAGAGTTCAGACTAGACATCAGACATTTGGGCTCAAGCACTTTCCCCAATCCCATATGTCTTGCTCACTTCTTCATTAAGTAGATGACTTTATGGTAAGGATTATAAACAGAAACCACTACTGGGGCTGGGGGCCGATTTCCACTCTTGTTGCCTAAAATTATTGATAAGAACACAGTCATCCTTCCAGTTCGCAAGTTACTCCATCAGTGTTGTTAGTGCATTTCAGCTTTTTCTCAGAATCAAAAAGCAGCAACCTGGCTGTCTGCTTGCCCTTTCCCAAGCATACCTCTCATCTTCAGGGCAGAGGCAGCTACAGAGACTTGGGAAATAGCTGGCCGTCTCTGTGTTTTGGCTACACTGTCTCCCATGAGACAATTAGTCCTGATTATGCTGAAAAAAATGTGCCTATGGAAAAAGATGACAGTCTGGTTTATTAGGTCACCTATAAGCCAGGAGAAAGCCTTGACCCTGAGCTCTTGTGAGAAGTCACTTGCTACTGAGTACTTGGAACAGTTTTTATTACTGAGTAATTGGGTCTCCTGAGCCCCAGCTTCTGTACTTCTAAAGCAATTTTAAACAATCTGCTGGATTTGATTGTTGTGAACACTAAAAGGTATACGTTCTCCCACCCATCCCTAATTTCCACCTCTCAAAGACCTGCCCAACCTCTTCCTATGTATCCTTGTGGGCCAAATGTCCCATTCAGTTACTAAAGTTAACGGTCCCTAATAAGATTTAATTTGAGGATGACATTTGTCTACTCCCAAAACTCTCTTCTGCGCTAGGATTCCTGCTAGGTGATATGTCTTCAATAGAAAAGATCTTTTTTTCTACTCTACATAAAAAACACTGGATAAAAAGAAAAAAGAAAGGGAGGGAGGGAAGAAGGGAGGGAGGAAGGAAAAGAGTGAGAGGAAGGAAAATGTTTATTCTTATACCCAAAACTTGCAGGCAGTGTATGTGTATGGATGAGGGTGGTAAAAGTAGGTGTATGTTTCTTTTTTCATTATACTAAGGTATAAGTGATTTAATTAGACTAAGGTATAAATGCATCTCTCCCCAACAGCATTTTGCAACCACTGAAAGAGCTATTGAAATTTTATGGAAAGAGATTGTGGAGATGGTATGTCAGATAAGTACCAGAAACAAATGTCAAACTCATGATAAAGGCTGGCTTTGGGTCAACTCTTTTTGAGGAGTACAGAGTAGAGGACAATATTGCTAAAAAAAAGAAATAGGCACAGAAAGAAAGCATACACTACAGGCATGCTGCTCGTCAGAGAAATGAGGATGGCTGTTTAGGAGTTGTGAAGATTAAGTTCTCCTGGTTACCTAATCTGGAGAAGATTCGTTTTTCAGTATACTCCTTAGCAGATAGATCTTGAGGTAAACCATCCTACATTTAGCTTTGCAATCTTCTTGGCAATGTGTTCTGAGGGAAAGAAGAAAAATGTTGCTTTGGTGGGTAGATAAAATTGAAAATATATTTGAGGATATTTTTGGTGTGCCAGTCACTAAAGAGGAGATAAAATGCCAATTAAACTGAATCTCAGATGTTCTGTTAGCGTGAAGGAAAAACAATTACTTTTGCTCCTTAAGAAGACTGGATTGGGGCTATCTTGTACATAGGTAGAAGAGAAACAGAAAGGCCTGTTTTGTTTCTCATACACTTTGAAAGTGCTCCAAGTTTGGGTATGGAGTCTAAAGATGATCAGATCCATTGCTTATAGATGGAATAGCTGGGCTTTGTGGGTTGTAATTGCTCCATCTGTCAGTATGGGGAAGGTTCATTGTTAGTGAAGTTCACTTGGAAACTTCATGTACCACTTTAATCCTATCATTCTGTCCACCTCATAGTAGTTTTCATTTCATTCTGCCTATCTCTCAGCTATCATCAAAAGAACCCAGAAACCCATCTACTTACCCAATGGCTCCTATGATTTGCTTAATGCTTCATACCTATACTGCATTCAAATTTCACAATCCAACTGCAAGTTGGTACAATCACTCTGTTTTGCAAGTGGTACAAATCAAAGCAGGAAATGCTACATTGTTTGGGAAGAGATGTCTCTGCAGCTGCTGGATCGCAGAACTGGGAACTAGACTTGAATTTGTGTTAATTCCTTCTTGGCAAGTTGTGTACAATGCATGTCTTCTGATTCTTTTCTTCTTTGAAAAGATAAAAAAAATTGTCTTTAAGAGTCCTTGAGAGTGTGTCCTTGGGTGTCCTTGGGTGTTTGTCCCTGAGAACTTGAACCAGAAATCAGCATTCTGGGCCATACAGTAGTCTCTCTATCCTGGTAGCAATATAGAAGTTGCTTTAGATAACATATAAATGAGTAAGCTATGGGAGTGGTCCAATAAAACCCTATTAATTGACACTAAAATTTGTGGTTCATATAATTTTACATCACAAAAGTTATTATTTATAGTTTCTAGTCATGTAAATATAGGTCAGTTGATGCCTGTAATCCAAGCTACTTGGGAGGCAGAGACAGGCGGATCATAGTTTCAAGCCAGCTTGGGCAAAATGTTCATTCACTATCCTCTGTCTTAAAGAATAAGCCATGTATGGTGGTTTATGATTTTCCCAGGTGGTAGGAACAGGTGACAAGGCTGTCTTCTGAGGCTGGCTAGGAAAAAAAATGTGAGATTCTATCTTAAAAATAACTAAAGCCTATAATCCTAGCTCCTCAGGAGGTTGTGATCTGAAGTTATGGTTCAGAGCTGTCTCTAAGCAGACAAATCCATGAGACACTGATCTCCAACTGACCGAGAAAAGCTGGAATTAGAGGCATGGCTCAAGTGGTAGAACACTAACCATAAGCAAAAAGAAATCCAAGCAAGAACTTGAGACCCTGAGTTCAAACACACATGTGCGTGTGTGTGTGTGTGCGCACACACACACACACACACACACACACACACACCAGAGCATGGGGAGAACCAAAGTTGGCTCAAAAGCTAAATATTGCCCACTTCTGATTTAGAGTCCAGCTGAATGATTAAGTATTAATGGCATACACAGGATCTAGGCAGCCTGAAACAACCTGGTACCACAGAGAAAGCACTAAGCCTCTAGAGTAGGTCAGGAGCTGGAGAAGTTTGGAGGTAGTACTAATTGATTACTCTGTAACTATTTCTGACAAGTCTGGGGTAAGGGAATCTGAGAAGATCCCAACATTACAAAGTAATTGTACAAAGAGACTTTTGCTATTATATTTATAGCAAGGATGTATTTTGATGAAATTTACCTTGTTTATATTATTCTTCTTTAACTCCTCCTCCTTCTCTTCTTCCTTTTTAATAGTTTTCAGTGAGTTTCACTACACCATTTTCATATATATGTGTTATATATATATATATATATATATACATACATATATATGTTATCTATAACAGCCTGTTATATACTTACATAGGTTACATATGTATATATGTATATATAAACTATGTATATATATGCTAGGTTATATAAGCATGTTATATATGTTAGGTAACATGCATACAGATATAGCATACTTCTATACCATGCCATTAAGGTTTTGCTCTGTCCTGTGGGCTCTTGGCTCTATGATGGAAATTACAATGTGTTCGTAACTCACAGAACTGCTATGAAGACTTAATGAGACAATATAAGTAAACAACACAAATTTAATACAAACTTGGAAAAATATTATCTTTTATGATGTGGTCGATAGTGATGGTGATATTCACATCTGTAAAATATCACCAGCAAACCCCACTTCCCCCAGAGGACTTTCCTGAAGACCAAAATCAGTCAAGGAGTATGGGCATGCTTTGGAAACAATTACCATAGGATTTTTTTTTTTTTGTCAGTCTTGGGACTTCAACTCTGGGCCTGGACACTGTCCCTCAGCTCTTCAGCTCAAGAATTGCACTCTACCACTTGAGCCACAGCACCACTTCCAGTTTTCTAGTGGTTTATTGGAGGTAAGAGTCTCATGGACTTTCCTGCCCAGGCTGGCTTTGAACCATGATCCTCAGATCTCAGCCTCCTGAGTAGCTAGGATTACAGGCATAAGCCACCAGCACCCAGCTACCATAAGATTTTTTAAATTTCCAACTTCCTTTTATTATCATTGTTGTTGTTGCTGTTACTATTAAGTAGTTGTAACAAGTGATTACAATTCCATAATTCAAGTTATGAGTGCAATGCTTCTTGGTCAATGTTGCCTATTTTTTTCATTCTGCCATAAGGATTTTTATAACTGAAATAGTTTGCAATCTCCCTTTTGTTTAAGAATAATCTCCTCCTACTAC